TACTACTCACAATGCTACTACTCACAATGCTACTACTCACAATGCTACTACTCACAATGGCAATTGCGAAACAAAACATCTTTATTCACAGCATCATGCACACAAACAGTAAAGAAATTACCCACTGCGGTTGTGAGTTAAGGGACTTGGGTAACGTGCCACGTTCTTGCATCTGTGCGTCTGCAACAGAAAAGTAGAGAGCCAGCAGCAGCTGGACATGCAAAACAAGACGTGCACGCAAAACGCAATTGCATATACGCACACACATACACACAAAGAAGCAATCCAGAGTAAGAACAAATGCTCACACACACACTCTAATAGTATGACTGCCCCATTGGCATAGGGCCACGTCACTCCATTGTGACAGGGAGCCAGAGTCAGGGTAAAAGAGTCACACACATACACACACACACACACACACCATGTACCATGTACCATGTAAACGCCCGTCGCAAGAGAAGCACGCAAATCTGCAAATGCACTGGATGTGCACCCACAGATACACGCACACACACACACACACACACACACACACACACACACACACACACACACACACACACACACACACACACACACACACACACACACACACACAAAACACACAACAGAAAAATGCCAAAGCTGATGTCAGAACAAAACAATAGTTGAATGGCTGTGTGTTCTCAATACATCTATTGCATGGTTCCATATCAGAGACAAAGAGAAAGAGAAAGAGAAAGAGAAAGAGAGAGAGAGAGAGAGAGAGAGAGAGAGAGAGAGAGAGAGAGAGAGAGAGAGAGAGAGAGAGAGAGAGAGCGGGCGAGAGAGAGAGAGAGAGAGAGAGAGAGAGAGAGAGAGAGAGAGAGAGAGAGAGAGAGAGAGAGAAGAGAGAGAGAGAGAGAAAGAGAGAGAGAGAGAGAGAGAGAGAGAAAGAGAGAGAGAGAGGCTGGCCTCTGGAATGTCTGGATCGGGCGGTACTGTGGGTAGAAGCATTGCGAGTTCTAGCCTTCTAGGGTAGTGAAGTCTACAGAAGATTTGGGAGATGAGGAGACTGCTGAGGGGTAGGCTTAGTGGATGGAAATGATGACAACGCAAAATGCACGAAAAGGGTACTACAATGATTCTGTCATGTACTTGCTTGTGCTACTCAGTTCTGGAACTATTACAAGTAGTGGGGCTCTGCCAACCGCGGAAGGTTGTAGTAAGGTCACTCTTTCCGAACACAGTGTCCTTGTTTCATGCTGTCAATCTAACAATTGCGTGAACTATAACAAGGTTTATCTAACACTGGTTTTTAACCAGTGTTAGCCAGTGTTAGGGTATTCAGTGCTGCCAAATAATTTTCGCCTAAAATCGGACACCCTTCACCGCCAACCTGCAAAGTGCAAGGCTGACCACATGGTGCGAATTTTTCTCCTCGGCAATTATTTTACAGAGAATTCAAAATATCGCCTAAAACACCATGAAAAAATTCGCTTTGTTGCCATGGTAACCCCAGAGCTGTCATGAATTTTGTAATGATGAGTGTGGTCGCACACTGACTCTGTACAGACTGTCAGTGTACATGCCATCCAGCCTGATCCAGGCATGTTACTTTGCACTTCCACAGCCAAGCGCTAGCCTTTTTAGAAGCAAATGTACAGTGATTTGTGCCTTCAGTTGCGCTGAAAAGTGAAAGTACAGTACAGGACTTCTGCATAGGAAAGTAATGATCTCTGACATTTTGGCTGCTTTTCGGACGTTTCCCTTTTCGGACCGGTTTTCGGAAGAGCCTTCAAAAATCGGACACTGTCCGAAAAATCGGACGGTTTGGCAGCACTGGACCGTATTACTGTAATATCATACCAAGTCCCTACTACTTACTAGTAGTAGAAGCCGATGTGTCCTGATTCTGATTCTGAGGCAATCCTGCATAGCACTTATTTAACAGTACCGGTAGCTTGTACTTGTAAGTCACTAGGTGTACATAACACCACTGTTCAGGTTGCACTCTAGACTCTTTGCTCCTCACCTCAGTCCTGCCGCGCGCGCCATGGACACTGACACTCCTGGCGCGAAATCCACTTAGCAAATGAATAGTTGAGCAGCATGATGTGAATAATGTCAAAATGGTGACGAGGCTGTCCAATGCGCTTGCATCTGAGCTGAGCGATCCTTCTTTGCATGATGTGATATCTGATCTGCTGAGCGAATCCGCCATGCATGCTGCATGAGGCTGTCACATGGCGCTTGACCGGAGGTTTCGGTCTCTTCGAAACTATTATTATACGTATTATTACAGTATTTTAGTAACTAAAATACTTCTTTGCTGGCATGGCGCCTGGCTCTGTCACGCGTGCACGGGTAGTTCCTGCATGCACTGATCTGACGCATGTAACTGTTGCACTCCGGAGCTCCGTCCCATCTCATCATCCGACTCACGCATGCCCAACGAAACAGATGATGGGATCGCGATATCGACGCTCCAGCACGGCAGCAGCGATAGCGCAAGCGGACCACATGCACAGTCCACTGCATGCAGTCCTCGCTCGTTGAAGTATTATCATGATTATGGCATCAGCTCAGATCGTGTGTCAAGGGCGGGTCTGGGGGCCTGGCGACGGACGTAAATGTAGACATTATTAGAGAGGTTTAATTTAGCACAACGAAATTCGTTGTTCATTTTCGTTGTGCCGCCGTACGAAAAAGCCGACCGAAATTCGCTGAATTTTTGTTTAGCAGAACGTTCGCAACGAACTTCGGTGTTGCTACTGGACACCATGGATGTCGCGGAAATCCACGCGAAATACAAAAAGGTAATCCTCGTCACTCCCCGACTTTCGTAAACTGGTGGCCTCACCACTCGAATGCTTCTTGAGCGGGAGATGAAGCCGATCCACAAGCCCTTTCTTTTCAGCCCAGCAAATCTCCTACCGCTCTGGGAAAGCAGCAGAGCTGCTTCTTCATTCGTGCGTGATTTCCGCAAGAAACAATTCGGCATCGACCTCACAAGGCGGAGCATCATGAGATCCATTTGCGTACCCCGCGTAAGTTGTCGTCCCTCCTGATTACCAGAGGCAACAGCAGCAGCAGAAACTGCAGGATTTGAGTTCGGCTCAGACATTCTGGTCGTGAAAATAAGGACCTCAGAAAAATGTCAAAAGGAACAAAAATTCTCATGTGATCGCGCGCGGAACGAAAAGTCGACAGACCAAACTTCGTTGGATTGATGTTTTCCGCGAGTGTGTGTTCGGAAGTTCGTTGTAAGTTTCGTTACTCGTTCCCGGGCTTCAAAATCTAACGAAAATTCAGACGAATTTCGTTATGCTAAACCTCTTTATTCGTGTACAAACATACGTTTCACGTGCCGATATCTCGAGCCTCGATCGATCGTGTGTTTTTCGCTGGATGTGTACTCTACACAGTCTACATGGTCTATGTAATGACTAATGTAGTAATGAGCCTATGCCGTCGCCATCCAGCGACGGTTGTCCACTGACTGTCGTACTGACTCTGTACGTCTGTGCCGCGGTCAGGTGCCCCGCGCCGCGGGGTCACGATCGCTGCCTCAAAAAATTTAATTATCCCCTCCCGCGGCCCGACAGAGCAATCTACATAATCTACTAGTACTACTACTAGTAGGCACTTCAGTCACGTGACATGACCTGTCAAAAAGTGCTAACGCTGAATCGCGTACATGCATGGCACCAAGGAAAGGCGCATGCATAGATCGATCTGTAGCTACACGGAAGCTGCACAGGGCGCCCTAGGGCCTTCTCGTGTGGCGCAGCATGTAGCTGAGGCCCTCAGCTTTCGTTTGAGCCCACATACGTCATGATGCGGCAATTTTTTGAACTCACGTACAGTTCGAGTAAAATCGGCAAGGATTTTTCGGGCATTTCACTTGGTTGCACGCATTTGCCATGTAGCTCATCGTCTTCAGCGTCGTATTTCCTTTCGGAATCAGTTGTCTTCGTTCGTCCAACACTTTGCGCATTGCTGCGCAAGGAGAAATAATGCGAGGTGTTATTGGAAGCGAACCGCGACAGGCGTCCTCCCGGCAATAGTCCTTGTTCGTCGGAGCCCATGCGCATGGCTGCGCAAGAAGAAATATTGCCAGGTGTTATTGGAGTCGCATCGGAGCAGTCGTCCTCTCCTGCAGGCGACGAGTAGGACAGTATATACTTCGGCGACTGGACCAAGAGAGCTGACATCAAAACGGCCTGCTCGGAACAAATCGTCAGCTGATCAGCAGGTGGCTTCCAGCGACCAAGAAAAGCATTGACGGTGATATTGTACCAAGAATCCAGCACACACTCTATGCACAAAATCTCTCATGCTGGAGTTGCTGAAGTTTCAGTAGTCCCAAAAATTTGCAGACGATGTTCTACATGTAATAGTTTGTCATTTATTTCCGTCAAATACCGGGTAAATTCCAGTTTGCTCAGTCTTCGGCTCATTGTTCTTCCCTACTCGTCACCACGTCAGTACTGTACATGTAGCAACAATGTGTTCTGGCACTGAATTATTGTAGTTACTTTATCTTACCTCAAAGTCTCATCTTATGCTTTTCCAAAGGCTTCTCTGCACTGTTTTCATGCTGTTGCGATGGAGTTGCTATGCTGTTGCTATGGAGTTGCCATGGTGACCACACCCGATATCTTCGTCGGAGCTGCCGGACGGATGAAAAATCCGAAGTTTCTCCAAACCATGCTGTTTCTGCATTCATCTGGTTATTTTGACCTGCTTCCAGCGAGCCTGGTATTTTGCCACTATAGACACTGAAGCAAGTTCTGCCAATTTCTGATATGCTGCTGGTGCCGTCGAAATACTGAAAATGCCGTTATTCAATTCTCCGACTTTGGGTGGCTATATCTCTGTGCCAAGTTATTCTTTTTGCTTCAAATTTTCTGTGGAGTCTTCCTAAACCTATCTGAATCGGATACAAAAAAGAAATACGCGTATTTCTCGTTTTGAAAAAATCGCCTGAAGTGCCTACTACTAGCACATCACTACAAATGAGTACAATACAAAAGACGAAGCGCAGTTCTGTAAAGCGAGAGTTTCGTTTGCTCGTGATCGAAAGTAGCTCTAGTTTCTCGCTAGAGGCAGATGCGGCAGTTGTTGTTTGATTTTATTATAACTCGCATTAGCCAGCAACGTTCCTTTTCCATGTATCCGGGATTCCGAGAGGTCATTCATTTTTGGATAATCTTCCACCACCCATAGAGTCCCGGATTCGAGTGGGCAGCGAGCTAGTAAGTTGAACGGGACAAATCACAGTACGTCTGTCTCTCTCCGCAAACAAGTCTTCTTCGATCGAGCGCCCACACTGATTGGAGCAAGCACAGTTGGGTGCCGCGGCTATTCCGTTGAGCAGCTCTGTCAGCGAAGAAAGGAAAACATTCCCGTGACATTAGCCAGGAGGATCCAGTCATAGCCTGTTCACCCTTACACGGTCCGCGCCAGTTCTGGGCAGTGGCACTAGATCAGCTACCACCCGTATAGTAGATCTACCCTACTCTTCACTTGAGCGTGGATGACCGGTCGATCGCTCCTCTTCGTGGGACGATCAGGACGACTCACTCTCGTAGATCTACTGACCGGGATCAGTAGCATAGCGTGAGGCAGTAGATGACTGGATCGCTAGCGGGTGAACACGCATTGTCAGGTCACCGTGCTCACAGCACTCATAACTGCATCAGCCAAGTAAGGACAACTATTTTTTTAAAGGGGAAGTTAAGGCAAAAATTAAAATTTCACCAGTTGTAATCTTCGGGGTGCTGAGTCGAATGGTCTTGGTCCGAGAAAGCTGAGACGCTCCCTTCCTACTTGAATCCCAATCGAACTCGCGCACTTCCACCGAAACTGGGTGACTGCGCCCTACTAGATGGGGATTTGTATGCAAAATGTCACTAAAAGCGCCATTTCGTTCTTATAAAAGCACGGATGACCGCGATTGGCCCATATGTTGTAGTCTTTTGGACGCTGAGTCGACAGGTTTTGGTCCGAAAAGGCTGCGATGCAGCGTTCCTCCTTTATTCCCAATCGAACATGGTTGAACAAGCGGTCACGTGCTCCTGCGTACACCAGTCAGCTGGTCACCGTGCCTGCAGGGTACAACTTACTAGCCTGTTTGACCTTTTTTGGGTGCAGTCCTGTCACTCGAGTTGAACTCGAGTTGAACCTTGGTGTGAAAGTTCTCGCCTGCTGGCGTGGTGACCAGGTGATTTGGGCACCCAGGAGCACGTGACCGCTTGTTCAACCATGTTCGATTGGGAATAAAGGAGGAACGCCGCATCGCAGCCTTTTCGGACCAAAACCAGTCGACTCAGCGTCCAAAAGAGTACAACATATGGGCCAATCGCGGTCATCCGTGCTTTTATAAGAACGAAATGGCGCTTTTAGTGACATTTTGCATACAAATCCCCATCTAGTAGGGCGCAGTCACCCAGTTTCGGTGGAAGTGCGCGAGTTCGATTGGGATTCAAGTAGGAAGGGAGCGTCTCAGCTTCCTCGGACCACGACCATTCGACTCAGCACCCCGAAGACTACAACTGGTGAAATTTTAATTCCCGTAGCTATGCAGAAGACGTTACTTCAGTAACGTCTGGCGCTAGCCAGGGTCCACACAGCTTTAATTCCCGTAGCTATGCAGAAGACGTTACTTCAGTAACGTCTGGCGCTAGCCAGGGTCCACACAGCTTTAATTTGGTGTTTGTTTGTTTGTTTGTTTGTTTGTTTGTTTGTTTGTTTGTGTCACGCCTGGCGCTATCCCGTATCTGTCCCGTACCGTATCGCATAGCTGGCCATTTGCTGGCTCCCGTATCTGTCCCGTACCGTACCGTACCATCAAACACAGCTGGCTACAAACAGCTGGCCACAATATTATGTACAATGTACATGTATACGACTCCCTGTGTGTTGCAACTGTGCTTGAAGGGGACGGTTGCACTTTTTGTAGCTCCGTTTTATCTGAGTTTTCAGTCGTTCCTCTTACTAGTCTTGCCAAGGGGGTGGCTCTGGGTCCACCAGAGTTGCCCCTGGCGTATTTCTGAATTTGCTGGGGCGAGGGTTCCGCGACGCGGTCGCCAAGGCAGTGTCTTTTCAGTCACGACCGTTGTCGTCCTCGTCTCTCCATTCGCGGTGGTGTAGCTGACCCCCGAATGGTTTCAAACTGCGAAGCTCGGAGGAGTATAGTGGTGGCAGAGGCATGAGCTGTGAGTGGAGACGGTTGCTGGAGATGGATGGTGATGCAGGGAGAAGAGTTACGCTGCCTGACGCCGCGTGGGAAATTGTTTGAACCTGCAATTTCAGTTCGAGCGCGGTGGACTTCTAGACGAATGTGTCCTCATGGCTGTTTTTCAACGCTTGGCCTATCGCTGATATCCCTGCGTGGGATGTTCTTCCAGTGGAGTCCAGGTGGGACTTCGGGTGCCCACACTCCATCACCTGGTTGATTGTTTCGGAACTGCAAAAATAATTATTGTTTCCTATTTTGTGCGCATCTCTTGTCATCTCTCTTTTCTATACGTCGCACACCAGATGTACTACTATCGCCGTCTTTCTCTTGCTTTCTCTCCCTGCTTGCTGTTTTTTTGTTTCTGTTGCCACTGTCCCTCATCATACACATGCTTGGGTGGTGGGCGGCGTGACCCGTTAGGGTAGCTGCCAATACAGTACGACTCCCTGATGTATAGAGAGACTTTCTGGAAAGAAATAGGGAGACGAGGAGGAAATGAAATTAGAATGGATGTTAGTTGCCGAATAGGTGATACGATGCGTCAGCAAAAACATACTTTGGAAGAGAGATCCCGTTGTCTCCAAAATAGGCGTGAACGGGCGAGTCAGCGCCGGTCACAGGAAACGTCGGCAGAGTGATCCCGTCGACTCCAGAACGCGCGTGCTCGGCAGAGTCAGCGCCTTCCCAGGAAACATTTCCATCAGTTCCCACAACATGCACGATGAGCTAAGTAACAAAGCATAGCGTAGGGCCCTGAGCTTCCAAGCTCTCTCGTTTGGTATTTGTGTGTTTGTTTGTTTGTTTGTTTGTTTGTGTCACGCCTGGCGCTATCCGTATCTGACGCCAAAAAAGCATAGGATGTTATAAAATTTTCAATTTTTCCTAATTTTTTCAGGCAAATCCTGGGATTCGAACCCGCACTATCGCCCTACATGCATTCCCCCATACACTTCGCATTCATACCCATTCTTCCAAGTTGCTTCACGTTATTATCTTGCGTTTGAAAGCCCTATTTAAATATTGCGGGCAGCTGTATGTGGCCAGCTGTGTTTAATGGTACGGTACGGTATGGGAGACGGTGTCGTATTACCCTCGATCGTACCTGTCCCGTACCTATCCCCTACCGTACCGTGCCATCAAAGACGGCTGGCCACAATGCATATTCAAATAGGGCTTTCAAATGCAAGATCACAATGTGAAACAACTTGGAAGAATTAGTATGTATGCGAAGTGTATCGGGGGGATGCATGCAGGGCGCGCGATAGTGCGGGTTCGAATCCCAGGTTATGTCTTAAAAAAGGATTTTTTTTAAAGAATTTATAACATCCCTATGCTTTTTTTTGTCTAGGTCATCAAGGCAAAAAAGCATAGCGTAGGGCCCTGAGCTTCCAAGCTCTCTCGTTTTTGCCTTAACTTCCGCTTTAATATTATTTTTAATACTAGTAGACTGTTCTAGAGAAGAAGTGCTGTTTTTTCTGTTGCTCTTTAGCTTGCATGGACGCCAGACATGAATTCCTAATGGGAAATACTGGTGCATTTTGGTGTGCGAACAGCCAGTTGAAAGTACTGAAAGTAGAACAATGCAATTTTCCGAATGAGGCGCCATACACACAGCATCGACCTTCCTCCTCCTTCCTAAATCCTTTCTTTAAGGTAGCAGCCTGGTTGAAAATTTCATATGGCATTCAATTGACCGTAACTTTGGTGTCTCTCAATGGATTTGAGTGAAATGTTCACCACACACTCCTGGCACTATGCTGGCCCTCTGGACATTATTTCAAAGTTCTTGCGCCTCACTGACAGGCTTTCCAGGCCGGAAAAACTCAAAATTCCGGCATAGTGCCACGGTGTGCGAGTCACCCAGGAGCCAAATTAATGCATTTACAATTTTTTCACATTTTCTTGCCCATTCTCTCAGTGCGCGGGATCCAAACCTAAAATAAGTCCACAAGCAGCCATGGGTGGTGGGAAAGGGCCCCTCAACGTGGCCCTGGAATCTGTCACAAGGGCACGAGTGGGCGTTGTCTCACAGATTCCCACAGACGCAAGTCAATTTTAGATTTTTTTAGGTTTAGGGCGTGCTACTAGGTCGTAGCTTTGATACAACATCCAGTGCTGGGACGTCCACAGCAAGCCATTTCCACAGCGCTGCAAACCGAATCCAGGATACCCACCAAATCGGCAAAGACTACCACTCACGTTCCACTACTGCCTAGTACTGAATCCTACCTGACTTCTTGACACGACTCAAACTTGCCAAAGTCACTAAATCAACGTCAACTACAGTAATCAAGCCACATATCTGCAACGTCACGAGGGTGCTGGCAAAAGTCCTGCTGCGCGGCGGCGGGCTTTGCCCGCCGCCGTGCAGCCCAATACGTGGCTAAAAGCCGTGATTTGTTGGACTTGGAGCAAAATTCTACACACTTTTGCGTGTTTCCATGATACGACAAGTTGCGCACGGTCTGCTCACATTCAAGTACAGTGCTGCCAACAAATGACAGCGTGCAACAAAAAAATATTTCCTTGCAAGGGCACATTTTCGGCCATAACTCTTGAACGGCTGGTCAGATCGAGACAAGATTTTCAGAGATTTTGCAGCTATTCATGCTCTTTCAACTGATGTAGCACTCGATATGAATTTGCAAATTCCATTTTTCAGGGATTTTACGACCAGGCTGCCCCCTTAACCCTTTCCGTGCTAATGACGTCTATAGACGTCATGCGCGCTGTATGCCAAACGACTAATGACGTCTATAGACATCAGGAGATTTGCACAGTACAGCGCAGTGCATAGATCAGTGTACGAACTTTCGTAACTTTTGCGCGCTGTATGCCAAACGACTAATGACGTCTATAGACATCAGGAGATTTGCACAGTACAGCGCAGTGCATAGATCAGTGTACGAACTTTCGTAACTCCGTCAATAATAAGTCTATCGCGACAATCGATACACCGTTCGTTTGAAAGGTATTGAGCTCAGCTTTCCAGCGATATAAAGCTCTTTGCGACAGGAGAAAGATTGACGGAGCGGCGATGGTGTGAACACGAAATTCACGGCACTTAGCGATCGTGAATTTTTTTGTTCATGCGTTCGCAGTTTTCTGTTGTTTGCCAGGGGATTTCCTTTTGGCACAGCGCATGCGTAATGGACACCAGCGGAAACACGTGGATCTCAGCTTTGCAGCACAGTTTGAATCGTGAAAATCAGCTGACCTGGAGCAAAAAACTGAAAAAGAATGTGAGATCGAGTTCCTGTGCCTTTCCGAGGCATCGTGAGGTAGCTTCAAGAAGACGTAGAAGTTGCATCGCTGTGCATATTGAGTTGAGAGCTACCAGGATGGATTCGCTTGGTCCTGATCTTTCCAACAAGCCCAGGGTTATGAAAATCCATCAAGGTCAACTGAATTGAGAGAAAAATTCGCTCGGGCCTGTGCGCGAAAACGACACCAGGAAAGTCAGTGTGCTGGGAAGGCAGTTTGCTGGCGTAAAAGGGGCCAGCACGGAAGGGTTAAAGGGGAAGTTAAGGCTAAAATCAAAATTTCACCAGTTGTAGTCTTCGGGGTGCTGAGTCGAATGGTCGTGGTCCGAGGAAGCTGAGACGCTCCCTTCCTACTTTAATCCCAATCGAACCTGCGCACTTCCACCGAAACTGGGTGACTGCGCCCTACTAGATGGGGATTTGTATGCAAAATGTCATTAAAAGCGCCATTTTGTTCTTATAAAAGCACGGATGACCGCGATTGGCCCATATGTTGTAGTCTTTTGGACGCTGAGTCGACTGGTTTTGGTCCGAAAAGGCTGCGATGCAGCGTACGGCCCTTATTCCCAATCGAACATGCTTCAACAAGCGGTCACGTGTTCCTGCGTGCCCAAGTCACCTGGTCACCGCGCTAGCAGGCGACAACTTTCACGCCAAGGTTCAAATCGAGTTCAACTCGAGTAACAGGACTGCACCCATAAAAGGTCAAACAGGCTAGTAAGTTGCACCCTGCAGGCACGGTGACCAGGTGACTGGTGTACGCAGGAGCACGTGACCGCTTGTTCAAGCATGTTCAAGCATGTTCGATTGGGAATAAGGGCCGAACGCTGCATCGCAGCCTTTTCGGACCAAAACCAGTCGACTCAGCGTCCAAAAGACTACAACACATGAGCCAATCGCGGTCATCCGTGCTTTTATAAGAACTAAATGGCGCTTTAAGTGACATTTTGCATACAAATCCCCATCTAGTAGGGCGCAGTCACCCAGTTTCGGTGGAAGTGCGTGAGTTCGATTGGGATTAAAGTAGGAAGGGAGCGTCCCAGCTTCCTCGGACCACGACCATTCGACTCAGCACCCCGAAGACTACAACTGGTGAAAATTTGATTTTAGCCTTAACTTCCCCTTTAAAGGGGAAGTATACCCTTTCACTTGCCACAACTGTACTTTCTATTTGAAGTATACATACCTGTTAACCATGGACTGCTTCTGGCTAGATTACCTCTTGTGCAATCACTGGTGTTATTGAAGCTTATGTCGGATCCACTCTAATTTAGGCTGCGTTTACACGACAACGCTGGGGGGGGGGGAGGGGTGAAAAAGCAACAAAATCCTTTCGGATGCATGGTTCATTTACACGGTACGCGGAGCAAAACGTAAAAGTTGTACACCAAAACGGAAGAAAACCAAAACGCTGGCCAAGGTGGAAGAATTTGAAAACGAAAATGTTCTGCTGGATAAATTTGGGTGTGTACACAGTCGAAACGGTCTGCTGGCCTCATTTTCCGTCACGCTTGTTCCGTTCTCGGCCGTTTACACGGATCCGACAACCAAAAAATTAAATTGTTTTACAATTTTCGTCATGGGACCGTGCTGTGGTGTGGCCGGTTTTCAATTATTCCTTGAGCGTGATTGGTGCTTCCACGACAACACTTGGCACATGACGAACTTTGCCGGATCCTTTGTTCCCGTGTAGATGCGCGAAAACGATACAAACCGAGACCACCTCGGACCAGCTTTGATCGTGTAAAAGCACGAAAATGAAAAATGAAATGCGGGACTGAAAATGGAAAACTGGCCGTGCGTTGTCGTGTAAACGCAGCCTTAGCCACCCACACTAGTAGCAAGTATTACCTTCACTGGGGGCAGGGGTAACTGCAGTTGGATCCCAGGACGGATACCCTGATGCCGTCAATCCTTTTTCTGCACCTTGTCCTCACCCACTTACTGAGGTGTGGTGAGCCCGTAAGTGGGATCATTTGCAAGTCCACCCATAATTTGGGGATTTCACGGGGTGTCGGGAGTCAGGCGGTTCAATAGCCGATTGAGTCCTTTTTCCAAGATTCCTTTTGAGTTCCTCTCTCTCCTCTCCCGGGAAGACCCACGTGACCAATTTTGGCAGTGAGCAAATACAGTACAGTGCAGTGTGTGTGTTCATGTGTATATGTGTGTGTGTGTGTGTGCGGTGTACGAACCAGTGTATGAAAGTGTGTGCGTGAGAGTAAGCGGGTACGATCAGGGGTACCTACAGACCTTCACAGACTGTCTCACTTCACATAAGAAATACAGTAAAACTGGTTTAAGCAACCACCCCACGGTGCAAGCAAAAGCGGTCGGTAAAGCCTTTAGAACCACGTCCCACAGTGTCTGTGTAGAACTGTCGGTGCATGGAAAAACGGTCGTTAAGAGCAGGTGGTCGCTAAACCCAGAGGTCGCTTACACCAGCTAGGTTTTACTGTATAGCTTATAGGATACTTTTTGGTAGACTGGTTATCAGCAGTTGTAAAGGCAGTTCCAAGTTCAGCCCTCACCAACGCCCAAAACGTCACTGGCCCATTTGTTAACGGTTGCGCTAATCGACCAATCAGCGTACAGCTAATGTACCAAAATTCTCAAACTTACGGTAATTCCTTGGTTCATACAGTGTAGTTTCCAAAGATTTGTTACGGACCAACGTCATTCGATAGATACCAACAGATCGTCCGCTTCGAATTTTTCGATATGATTGCTGTTTGGCCGAAAATTACCTCCGAAACCGGCCTCCACTCGTTTTACTCCAAGGCTTTCCAGGTAGACGACATCGCAATTCGGAAGCAGAGAAAGGATAGCCAGTGAAAAAAACAACAACGACGTATTGGTTGTCAAAATTGACCAAGAAATGAATTCAACAGACCAGTTTCCGTGCTGCGCCCTCGCGACAAAACAAAGTAGACAACTACGCACAGTGCAGGTGTTTTTTGCAGTGCAGTACACTGTCATTACTGCACTGGCTGTACATACCTTAGGAATATCCCATTCTTTTCCACGGCATGATTGTCGCTAATGCGAGAACTCAGCCACCTGAAGCTTTCATAAAGGAAGAAGTAGTAGGTGAATGAGTTCGCCAGAAAATGGAACGACAAGAAAATAGATACTGTTGCATTCGGGCGCTAGTGAGACGACGGCTAGATAGAACTGAAACAGTCGACAGTCTATCTCGACGCAAAAGGCCTCGCCAATGCTAAAAAAAACTCTTCAAGGAAAAGCTTGTCGTGCTGTAGAGTTTGCAGTATTCTGCTGCAAGTAGACAAGAGAACTAACTCAGACTACAGCGTGGAGACGAAGCAAAAGCTGAGCAAGTTCAAAGAAATGGGGAAAGACAGGAAAATGAGTGCGCGACATGATCTTTAGCTCGAAGCTCGCGCGAAGACACGCGGGAGGCGCTTGCGCCTACGGGTAACGCGGCCAGTCACCATGATTTCAAAATGGAGGTCGACGCTTTTGAAATCTGTGTAGACGATGGTGAGGGCTGAAGTTAGAAAATTGCAAGGCTGCCACACCTGGAGGGAGAAAAATCTGACGTGGGTCCGGGGGTGTCCACCGGTGAAAATATTTAGGAAAATGGCTTGCTGCTGGGGCCCCAAAACACATTTTTAACTCTCCACACACACATGCAAGCACGCGTGTATTTTACAGCTACATAAACATGTACATGACATTGTACAATGACTGGCCAAACGCGACCTGGAAGTGCAGGATGGCCAACTGGACTACAAAGCGCTCAAAATTAAAATACTCGGTTGTCCCTCTTTGGGAACAAAATCGGTCGGTTTGTCCGACAGGCGATCAAAAATCGGACGATTTCCGAAAAGTCGGAGCAAGTGGCAGCCCTGAAATTGGAAAATGGCATTGAATAGGCATTCCTGGGCGGGAGTCAAACCACACCTATGTCTACAAGATTCAATGCTAGCGCCCGTGCATAGCCTATGCTTTCTGGTAGCAGGATTCCATGTCTCTTCAGATGTTTTCCTTTCCATCTTCTTCAAGCTGAGTACTGCTATTATTATGTGCATTCAATTGTTGTACTGTGCAGGCACCATCTTGTGTACATGTGACTTTCAATGTCTTATGCGGACACTGTTATGAATCTGATCAGCTCACCGCTGCCAAATATGGTAAGACATTTGTGTAAGTGTGTGTGTGGGGGGGGGGGGGGTCGTGTATGTGTGTGCGTGCTTGTGTGTGTGTGCGTGCATGCGTGCACGCATATATCATATGTTTATAAACAACTGGTTTGAAGCTCAAAGTAGAGCTGCTGTTAGCTCAGAGCAGAGCTGCAGTTAGCTCATAGCAGAGCTGGTGTTAGTTCAAAGTAGAGCTGCGGTTAGCTCAAAGTAGAGCTGTTAGCTCAAGGTAGAGCTGCTGTTAGCTCATAGCAGAGCTGCGGTTAGCTCAAAGTAGAGCTGCGGTTAGCTCAAAGTAGAGCTGCTGTTAGCTCAAAGTAGAGCTGTTGTTAGCTCAAAGTAGAGCTGCTGTTAGCTCAAAGCAGAGCTGCTGTTAGCTCAAAGTAGAGCGGCTGTTAGCTCAAAGTAGAGCTGCTGTTAGCTCAACGTAGAGCTGCAATACTAAATGGATGTAATATATTGCAAGGCAGAGCCACAGCAAATAGCTAGATAACACCAGTTGTGAGAGTGGACCCATGCAACCAGCACTCCGTTAGCTGAGCACTATTCACGCACAGCAAGGGTCGATTAATGTCAGCACAGGCAAGCATTGCGCAGCTAGGGTTCAGTAGCTCATGGTATCCATGACACTGCAGCAAGCCGAGACAATAGCTGGCGTTTAGGGCTTGTTGTAGTCCGGATGTAGCATAGACACGCATCGCTCTTTCCACTGACCTGCCACTCAGAAGAAGGAGTCGGGGGGGGGGGGGGGGGGCGCCGGCCATAGCAGCGGTGGTGGCTGCACCAATGTGGGCTGAATGCCCGGAGTAGTTCGACTGGGATGGTACACCGGCCGCAGCGACAAGAGACCATACTGTTACTTTGAATGAATCAGCTGCTGTTCGTTCGAGAGTACGAACAAGAGTTGCTCCGGTCCCTCGCGACGAGTGACAAATGGGTAGCTAACCATGGCACGGACCGGGCAGTACGGTGGTACAGACGGGCCAATGTCACTAGTAACGCCTTCACCGAATGCGTCCGTCTTGGATGAAAGCATGAAGAGTTGCAGGGGTCTGTCACCAGGGGAGCTAGTACAGCCCAGTGTAATGCCATTACAGTAAGATCGGGCGCCGAAGAACGCAGGGGCTCGAGCGCAGCCTAGGAAAGTTCTTAAATTTTTGATTCTAGCCAGACCGTTCTTATTCACACGCGCGCGGCGAGTCGAGTGACGTCATGACGTTTGTCATGTACATGTAGTGCAATGTAGTACAGTACTTCTAAACTAGTGGGTGTCGTAAATGGGAATGACTGTACATGTAGCAGTTACTGTTTACACGTGTACATGACATGTACTCACCTCCCATACATTATTATTATGTACAGGTGTTGTGGCGAGCTCAAAGCCGATCAGTTAAAATTAATACTGCATTCATGTGGAAATTCCAAATTTTAAAAGTGTTCTTAAATCTGATAATTCTAGCCTGGACTGTTCTTAAATTTTGCCGGTTTTCCAGCCTGGGTGTTCTTCGGCGAGGTGTTCTTCGGCGCCCGATCTTACTGTAGTGAATTCGGCACACCGAAGAAATCCAAAGAAGCAGCATGGCGGCTTGGTACAGCAGCTTGTCATGGCAATTCAGGATACTACTTCTCTGGCGTGCATCCGTCAGGTGTCGTGGGATTGGCATAGTGATAGGAAGGCGAGGTGTGAGTACAGCCGTGCCATGGCATCGCTGGATGCCCTTCAACACCCTCTTCAGAAGCCATCTACTAAGGGGCCGGCAAACTCATTCTCAAGATGGGCTTTACACACCGCACTGACAGATACAGATACAGTTCAGGACACACTGATCATAGTTCACGCATGAATGTGCGTCCAGGAACGATGACTCGGGCAGGAAAAGCGAGCTTCCCCAGGAGGGACTCGAGTTGACGCTGGCCGATGCTGCGCTCGCTGATAGTAGCCATGAGTGGGCCACGGATCTCGGACAGCTTGTCCTCTGGTAGCCGAGCTTCATGGCGCTCGCAGTCTAGGAATATACCAAGGAAGGTCAATGATGGTGATGGCTCTTCGAGCTGGGATGGAGCAAAGAGGAATGCCGAGATACGTGAATGCCCGGAGGAGGATGGCGAGTTGCTGGTTGGCTGCAGCCAAACCAGTGGAGATATCGAGAAAGTCATCGAGGTATTGAAGCCGGTGATCTATAGCAAACTCGTGCTGTAGGATCCAGTTGACTGCTGTGGCTACTGAGTCAAAGACGGCTGGGCTGGAGCGAAGGCCGAAAGACAGGAAGCGCTCGTAGTAGTAGGAGCCTTCCCAGCGAAGTCCTGACTGCGGACTGGGATCAGCTGAAATGCACTGCATACATCGAGCTTGGACAAATACACAGGCTGTGGGCATGACATGATGATGTTGATCGCGTTGTCAATGCTCGCATAGTGCAGAGAGAGAGAGAGAGAGAGAGCGGCTCGGCAGGAATGCTGTCGTTCGTGCTGGTGCCTTCTGGACTAGACAGATGGTGGATCATTCGCAGCTTGCCGTTCTTTTTGGGGACGGCACCAATACCAGAGCGGCGGATGAACTGAAATGGAGGTGACGGAAATGGGCCTGTGGTCTCGCTGCGGGCGCAGGAAGCAGCTAATTGCTCGGATATAAATGCCGAGTGAGTGAAAGCCAAGGGCGGATTATTAGAGAAAACCGAAATGTCATGTTGGGCGGCAGATCCAGGAGCAAAGCCATGGCGCAGGCCATGGAGAACATACGCAACACATGATTGATCTGAGTGGTTACAGAACAGGCGGGCAAAGTGGTCAGCTAGCAGTGTGGTGTCTGCAGAGTGTATAGGAAAAAAGCTACGTTCCGAGTCAAGCGATTCAGTAGCCATTCTGCTAGGAGCGGTGGGGTGGCCGATTGGCTCTGTGCTGCCGCTGGTTGCACCTGATGCATGGGTGGTCCTTGCCACACTGGCTGCAGGTGTAGGAGAAGCGGCATGACGACAAAGAACATTGACCTCCATTGAAGTTGCGGCAGATTTCTTGGCCGTCGCTGGTATGGGTGCGACCACTGGAGGTAAATGCTGCTGGCTTGGGGAATTGAGATTGGGGACGAAATTGACACGAACCGCCCTTGGATGGACCGTCTTACATTGAGCGCATTTTGGGTGTGCATGGCCTGTGAAAGCTATCTGCCATAGGTTGACGTCGATGGTGTCCAACCTCTTCGTGCCTGGTTACTAGGCCACGAGCATCCGCAGCTGGCGGTCGTACTCTAGCCACGCGCTTGGGAAGAACTGGCGGTTAGCAGTCAGGATCAACTGCTGGTACACAATCAGTTCAGCAGTTCAGCAGTGTGGTGTAGGGCAGCAGCCGTGATAACAGACATGTATGTGGTCCATGCCCCGAGCCGGGTAGCTACATGTATATCGTGAACCTTGCGACGCACCTGCTTCGTGTCATCCGACTCAACGATATTTAGCTGGCTATCGTTATTCGGGCTGTGCACCAGCCAGAATGTTGGGCCGGAAGTGTGCAAGAATTTCAGGCAACAAACTTGAAAAATCGACGAACTCCCCTTGCAAGATACGTTCTTGTTCAGCCTTGGGCACAGTTGGTGCAGGTGGCTGATCGGGTGGGTTACAGGAGCTTGGCCTGGCGTAGTGGCGGCAGAAGCCGCATTGCCTTGGCCTTGGGTGAGGAGCGGCACAATGCTCTCCGATAATAATATATTGGCGGCCAACAAAGCCGACTACACCTCTTCCCGTACGAGAGCTCAGAGATCCGTTGAGCCCGCGTCACCTGAGCTGGCGGAGGAGGCATTGGTGCCAGTCGGGCTTCTGGGCTTGCGAGCCGTGTCCGCACTGTCATGTTGCTGGTTCTCCTGGCCGGAGAAGACCTCACTACCAAGGGCTAGCTTTGCCAGCAAACGGTCCTGTAAATTACTTTTACTAGGTTTCCTTTCGGATTCAAGCCGCGCTGAGAAAGCTCGCCGCGGAGGGCTTGGCTAGGCATTGCCTTGACAGTATCGACAGTTAGGTCAGACATACTGAAGAAATACAGTGTCGAGGTGACACTTGGGCTGGCAGCAAAGCTACGAAAGGAAAAGCAACACTGCTGAAGCATGATCCGTTGTCTGGAAGAGCACAACAGGGCAAGCAAGATTTGTTTTTCTTTTCAGCAAAACGGGCTGGTGCCATTTGTGATTACGCAGCAAAACAAAGCACATGACGTCAGTCTTGAATGCAGTACAAAGCAATGCAGTGCAGTGTGTGCGTTAGTTCGGATTGTTGCTAACAAGTACTAGCACAGCTAGTACACCATTAGATGGTTCATAAAGGCACATTTGTCTGGGGCAAAGTCGGGGATTCGCCCCATACGTTGCATTTAGCGTGGCAAGACACTATTGGAAGAAGAGGTTGGTGCGATTTCGGCGATAGTTGGGGAACTGTGTGTTGCGCTCTACGTGGGAGCTCCCACTATTCCGCCCACTTGACTTGACACTTGACTGACTCACGACTGCCATCCATAGCACACTAGAAGTCCCTCGAACCTTCGACTTGGCAAACCGGCAAGAAAGCAGCACTCCCTGCTGAGCAGGAGCAGGTTTGCTCATTGACGGTTCGATGTACTTCTCATGTGCTCTGGATGGTAGTCGTGAGTCAGTCAAGTGAGAATTCAAGTCGGCAGGAAAACCGCGAGCTCCCATGTAGGGACCAACACACACTTCCCCAAGACAATATTGGAATGTGAAGAATGGAATACGGGGTAACTGTTTCTCATGCCCGCACCCTACTATTTTGACCTGGCTAGAACCCTGCTGTGTGTGCGGGGGGGGGGGGGGGTAAGTACATATGCCGAAATAAGTGCATTCGCCCCAGTGACTTGAACGGCAGTCTGCAGACTCTACACTGATAGATCTACGATCTCCTATGTGCAGTAGCTGCTGTATGCTGCCAAGTATTTGTAGAGTCAAAACGTAGCTCTCATGTTTGCTGGGTTTCCTGTTGGTGACATGGCTTTGTGAACCCCGACCCTCCACTCCCGAGTCACAGGTACGAAGGGTGACAAGGGAACCCTGGAGCCTCCATAGGGTTCTTGGGAAGGTTCCAGTGTCGTCGTGAAAAAACAAAACATTCCAACCTAATGTCGTTTCCCATATGGGGGTCTGTTGTCGAAGAACTGGGGGGGGGGGGGGGGGGGGAGGGGGCAGCCTCCTAGCCTAGACGGTTCATATTTTCCATTGTATGATAGGATATGCACAGTTGAGTCACTGTGTATACATTGGTATGCTGGGCTTGGTGAAATTCTAGCCTGGTCGTTCTTCAGCGCCCGGCAGTACTGTCGTGTATGAACGCTGTCCTGATTGGCATTATTCTTTGCCTATTGTGTATGTGATAATCTGCAGGGTAGCAGCGAGTAGTCACGGCAAACTGAGAAGATTCTTTAGCAGTACTGTCAAAGTAGCTCAATGGCTCATTCCTGACGGTGAAACGAGCTCAAGGAACCTATCTGTGGTGCTTCTCTGACTGGACCGACAGGGGCAGAGGTGGCCAGGAGAGCTGCACAGAAGAGCTATCAAGGAGAGCCATCCACAGGCTGTAGTGATCAGGACGCCACCTTGAGACCCGACTGGGACAACAACCGGGCACGCTGACCAGAAAACAGCAACCTAGAGGGGTCCTGCTGCGTGGATATCTGAGGGCAGCACCACAGACAGCCCCTGGAACACACTCGTACGGGGTACACAAACACACCGGCTCACCGCCAGGGACAGCACCAGCCAGGTCACTGCCAGGGACAGCACCAGCCAGGTCACTGCCAGGCACAGCACCAGCCAGGTCACTGCCAGGGACAGCACCAGCCAGGTCACTGCCAGGGACAGCACCAGCCAGGTCACTGCCAGGGACATCACCAGCCAGGCCACTGCAAGGGGCAGCACCAGCCAGGTCACTGCCGGGGACAGCACCAGCCAGGTCACTGCCAGGGACAGCACCAGCCAGGTCACTGCCAGGGACAGCACCAGCCAGGTCACTGCCAGGCACAGCACCAGCCAGGTCACTGCCAGGGACAGCACCAGCCAGGTCACTGCCAGGGACAGCACCAGCCAGGTCACTGCCAGGCACAGCACCCGGGTCACTGCCAGGGACAGCACCAGCCAGGTCACTGCCAGGGACAGCACCAGCCAGGTCACTGCCAGGGACAGCACCAGCCAGGTCACTGCCAGGGACAGCACCAGCCAGGTCACTGCCAGGCACAGCACCAGCCAGGTCACTGCCAGGGACAGCACCAGCCAGGTCACTGCCAGGGACAGCACCAGCCAGGTCACTGCCAGGCACAGCACCCGGGTCACTGCCAGGGAACCACATCTGGGTCAATACCAGGTCATCACCTAGACTAACACCCAGGTCAGCAACCGGGTCAACACCCAGGTCAACACCCAGGTCAATACCACAGTCATCACCCAGGCTAGCTACGATTTCAATACCCAGGCTAACACCCAGGTCATCAACCAGGTCAACCACGAGGTCAACACCCACGTCAATACCCCGGTTATCACCCAGGTCAACAAACAGGTCATCAACCAGGTCAATACCCCGGTTATCACAATTAACATCGACCAGAGAATTTCCAGAGGGACACCGGAGTACCCAGGACAAAACCCAACATACTGACCCAGGAAGCATACCCACGGCAGCCTCGCGCAATATTACAAGGCACTGATTTGGGAAACTGCCAGAAACGAAAAAACAACCCAATACAACATACGCATTGAACTGAGCAGTGTGCGACAGCGTCGAAACTTCTCACATCTGCATTACACCGATCACAACGAAGGGGTTTTGATGCTGAGGAGGCCAAATGCCGAGCTAAAGACTCTGTCTACTACTAATTGACGGCTACTTGGTGACTTGACATCACCTCTCATCAACGTTTACAGGAACGGGCCTTGCAAGTGATACAGAAGCACTGGCACTGACTTTGCACTGCTGCAATGCTTCCACAGCAACACCAGCCAACGCAACGGCAGAAGCGTGATCAAGAAGAGAACAGACGGCACCAGCAGCACCAACCGCATCATCATCCACAGCAGCCACAGCAGCAGCAGCCGCAGCAGCAGCAGCACCAGCAGCAGCACCAGCAGCACCAGCAGCACCAGCGGCAGCAACAACAGCAACAACAGCAGGGACAGCAGTTGCGACAGCAGCAACAACAGCAGGGACAGCAGCCGCGACAGCAGCAGGGACAGCAGCGGGGACAGCGACGGCGTCAGGGCCAGCTAACCACAGCATCAGACGAAAACCATGCCGTTCCGGGTTCTGCACATTTCGGTCAGCATCCGTGCGAATGGATAGGCTCTGAAGAAGCCATCAACACCGTTTTTCTACCTCGCCATCTGCCAGACCATCGTGCAGAGAGCACTGAGGATCCACTGGAATGCAACTATGGAGAGAGACAGGTGTTGAGTGCGTTTGCAGACATCAACGCCGACATTCTGCCTGCTAAAACCACAGGTATGCTCTATGCATGGGATGATTCATTCCGACCCAACACTGATCAACTTTGCAGGACATGGCAGAACTTGGCAGTAAACGAGCGATTGCCCGTCTATCTACCGGCACAAAATGCAGCGCTGACATTCGCCGTGCTGGAAGACAACCTTGTGGAAGTCAGCGGTTACGACATCCAAGCTGCAGCAAAGACGGTGGTATCCGCTGAAGGCCCTTTGCTCACTGAACAACCACGACTCTCAATTGTCCTACCAAAGAAGCATGCATTCTCACAGACAATGGCTGAGCAAATCTGCTGTCTTCAACGGCATGTCTTCCCTGATGCCATGGCAACAACTGAACGTCGTCACACAGTATTGAAGGAGAATCGTGAAGTCATCAGCTCAAAGTACGTCTTTGAATGGCTCTTCTCCGCAATGGTGGCCCTACAGGAATCAGACACGCCAGACTCGACTGTTGTTGCCGTGCAGAAGAAAGTGAGGGATGTGGTGATGTTTCCCAGAAGCCATGACTCCAGCATGCTCCCGTGGCGTCGCAATCCAACATGGTTTGCTGTGAAGTATATTCTTCATGCTACTCTTGTCAAGGACTGTGGGTTTGTGACCGGAACGGTCCTGTACAAGACCGCTATGCTGCGATTCATGACACAATTCCTCCTCTCCAACTCACCGCCAGGAAGCAGTAAAGGCCACAACAGCAAGGCCAAGGATGGCAGCAACAGCAGCAGCAGCCGCACCGGTAGTGGTGCCAGCAGCCATGGCAACAGCATCAGCGGTAGTGGTGCCAGCAGCCACAGCAACCACGGCAGCAGCAGTATCAGCACGGACCTGCTGCATCAGATGCTGTGCAAAGTCAGCAATCGCATCCACAAACTGTCATGTCTACTGGAGACTGCAGACCTGCCAGATGGTATGCTTGAGATGTGTTTGCGACAGATCAGTGTTTCCATGACAACTGTCACCAACATAAGTTCTACACTGGGTGTTGATTGGAAGAAGTACTGTGCATCACTGGAGTCCACAGCTAAATTGGATACCATTGCAGCTGCTCCGGTTGATAAGCAGTCAACTGTTCTGTCCCTGAGTGCATCGCGTGCCAGGATCTCCAGCCTGCTTGGAGACAACACGCCTAAGGTTGACATTATCCACGGAGCAATGGACCAGCATGGCAATGGCAGTGACTTGTCAATGGCAGGCATCAGCTCCCCTGAAGGCAGTCACATTGGTCTACATGCCTTTGAAGAACAGATACTCAGGCGGTGGCAGCAGCGGAAACTGCAACCAATGTCGACGGCAGACTGTCTCAGCAACATGATGAGCTACAAGAGTGCAACGGCTAAGATCTATGATAAATCGGATGCGATAGCCCAAAGCCGTCGTCTCTTAGTGGCCTCCGTTCTCATGGCAATGTGTGACATGTCAGCGACATCTGATCATCCGTTGCTTCTCCAGCACAAAACTGATGTGAACATGGAACCACTACGCAACATCCTGACAACCACGCCGCTGGAGATGGAAATTCTACACGAGGTGGAAGCATACTACGGTGATCGTTCTCTAAACGCAACACAGATTACTGGGCCACTGCAACCCGGTGTGACCAGCCACTCCCTCTCCGTGCAATACTTCAATACACAACGCGAGATGAAAGAACGTCTTGAGCAGTTCATCGTCCAAGATGAGCTGAAGGAGGAGGTGCACAGAACGGCTGTCCAGAACGCCTTGGAGAAGATGAGTGAGGATGAGCGGCGTCATAGCAGAATGAGCTGTGAGTACGAAGACGAATGGGATAGCGACTACAAGGTGCAAAGAAAAAAACACTATATATCGAGCTGCTGCAAGTGTAAACTGAATAGAGAACTGGATAGAAGAACGCATCAGATCTTCGAGCGTCTTCTTCCTCCCGAGCAGCCGTACAGGAAAGCCGCTGTGTTTGAGCTGTGTATTCCCAGAAATATCAGCAGCTGGCGAGATTGCACCCTCGTTTTCAACGAGCACTTTCTCTTGTCTGTCTCATTCAAGAAGGACACACCGTCTTCAAAATGGGAATGGGTCGAACGCTTATCCGGCTCATCAGCCAAAGGAAAGGTGACTCTCGGGAGCAAAAATGTACCTTTCCTGAATGCTCACTACTCAAACAAGAACCTACGGAATGAACGCTGGCAGAGCTTCGTTGAGCCGTGCAACATGAACTGCACTCTGGCTAAGGAAAGCAAGGTGATGCAGGTTCCATGTTGTCATAACGATGACATACGCAAAACCTGCACTCTTGACCACAGCAATGGCCAGCTGCAGCAATACATCGATGTGACCACGCACCAGCAGAGTGATGTCATCGCCAAACAGAATGTCTGCCCGGAATTCTTCAGTCTGCGCGAGTTCATCACATTCGGCAGTGTGCGTGCTGGACAGCGTCTTCAGTGGTACAACATACTACGGGGTATTCACCAGCGAACACTGCTACTACATCGTGTGCAGGTTGTACAGCTTATTGCACAGAGTGTATGGCAGGCAGAGTCCAATGAGGAACAAACCATACTTCGTGATGCCCATCATCCCTGTCAGGATACCGCTTTCGTGGCAGAGTTCAGCCTTGAATTGCGCACAGTACTCGGCAGTGTCAAGGGCAACTGGGCCAACTATTGGTCTTTGTGTAGCGTTGTTCTACTGGCTAACCGCTTGCTAAGCTTGTACTTGACACATGCATGTGCTGGGCCAGAACAAACTACCATCTCCAGACTGTACACCATCTTAGCGGAATGTCGCCATGAAGCTGTGATATGGCTGGATAAAATTCGTGCCCTGATGGAGCAAGTCAAGGATGATTCAGCCGGTAAGCTGCAAGAGGCTGCTGCTCACATTGCCACGTTTGGTACGTTGACCTATCAACACAGCGTTGATCTGGACGGACACGACGTGAAAGCACTGTTCAACTGGCTGAAGTTCGTCACTGACCTCCATGCTAACACAGTGCTGAATCAAAGTCGAGCTCAGGGCTTCTTGGATCATCTTACTAAGCAAACATTACGTATCACATTCAACAACCACTCCTCCTTCATTGCTATCATCAAGGACAGGATGAATAGCGAAGACAGAAATCCAGAATTCGAGAACTTCATCTCAGACTTCTACATGCCTGGTAGATCTGCTTCAAGCTATGATGTCCATGATGAGGATCAGCTCTGGATCAGCTGTAAGTGGAAGCATGGACATGAAGAGGAGTTTGTTCAATTTGACCTGCGAGAAGGCAAATGTTGGATCAACGGATTGCCGCCGGGAAGATTGTCAACAGACATCACCAGGTCGGAACTGTTCAGTCGACATTTCAAGGCAACCGTCTTTGTCGTCAAGTCCTGCACCAGTCCACAGGGTCAGATAGCGCAGGCAACAGGTACCTTGGCAGCATGCTCAGTGGACAACATTGGCGATGACTCATCACCGGAGCAAGTTGGACCATTCCTGTTTGCAAGACATAACCGCCTTGGCAGGAAACAGCTGTGCGTGTATGAATGCCGTGCCGATGGTCGCGAATTGTTGCTACTTGATCCGTCCT